AATGAACATAAATTGAATATTAATTAATGCTGAATACAAAGAGAATAAATTAACACAATTTTTTATCATGCCATAGTTCTCGAATACCCTAAATAAAAACACATTGATAAAGTCGCCTCCTATATGGTTTACTATTCCAAGCGAACTGCTTCAGCTGAGTCAAGACCGCATAAAAAAAGTAAATAAATATTGAAATGTAGTAACATCTCATCTATGACTGTAGCTATGGGTGGACTGTGTCTTACTTCTGTAGGGTTCTTTAAACCGATTTACCTAATTTTTCACATTCTTAATAACAAAACATTTACCGCCAGCTTATGCTCTAAGTCAAATTTTAAAAACCTCATGTAAATTAAAAAAAAAAATTATTATGGATTCCTGAAGGATCTTTCGATAATATTAAGCAAAAATATTGATTAGTTAAGTTAACCGAAAGTTAATTTTTGATTGGTTAAGTTTAAGTTGCCATTCAAAGAGTTTGCGCGTAAAAAATCTTGGGAGAAGATCATACAAAAATATATCGCATGAAAATAATCTGTTCTGTGCTAGAAGTTGCACATGTGCTCTATGGACTACTGCATAACCGGAATGATAGGACTCGCGACTACCAGGTCGTTGGTCACAGGTCGAATCTCAATAAAAATTCATGTGAAAACATGGAGCAAAAATTGTGAAAAAATAAGTTAGTTCGCGGGGTTAAGGGGATTCTAAGAGCTGCAGTATATCTAAGGGCACAAGACTATAGACCGGAAAGTTGTTTCCAACAGTTTCTAGTAGCCATATATACTGTTACTTAGACTTATATTCGCTGGTTCATAATTTAAGCTTAGAAACTGTCTGGACTGTTTACTGTTTAAATTTACTGTTTGCCTCTTATTGATATACTTGGCTGTAATGTCATCGTTTAAGCCTTAGACTTCAGCTCGCTTGTTAGTACTTTAAGCCTAAAAATATTGGAAACAACAACTGTTTACTTTGAACTGAAATTGTTTACATTGAACTTTGCTATGCTTTTGACCGATGATCTTCTCTATGATGTTGTAGTTGAAGCCTTTAACCTTAAAAGTGTTGCTTAATTCACCTAAATGTATGTTATAGCCAGAAATGGGTAAATAAATAAAATTTTAAAAAATAAAAATAATTTCTTTTTTTTAGTTTTTTCAAAGTAAAAAATTTTTTCTCGAAAATTTTTATTAAAAATTTTTTATACTTAATTAGTTTGCTTCTTTATTGTTGAGAATTAACCAACAATACCTCCAAAGCATCCAATAAACATATTTTATCAACGTCAACTTTCGAATTGACATAACGTTGAAGCTGCCATCAGTTGGCTAATTCGTATTTCCGTCGGCTTTTCTGTCTGCGTCTGCGCTTAGAAACGAAATTTAAACAGTAAAAACATTATCGACCGAGCAAGGCCGATCACTAAATATCTTACACCACTTCGCCTGATACAATTTTTTGTTTACCAACACGACACCCTTTCAACAGGAACGCTTTAGTGTGACGCCCAAACCGTGAACTGAGATCACCCAAATTTACCAAAGTTAATTTCACCGGATCACAAGGATCATAATATTTATCACTTATCGTCGCTAAAAAGTAGTACCCAATAGACTTTGCTGCATTACAAAGGCTTACTTTGAGAATCCTTACATGCGATAATGTCCAAAAAGTACGTGGTTTTGGTTCGCATTTCGCATAATGATGGCTATTATGGCTATAATTTTCATCATTATATATTAAAAATTATACTTTTTTGTTATAAAAAAGTTTGTTTTCCCTATATGTTGTTTATATCGGAGGAAATCCAAAACAAGTTCGTCCATAAAACTCAAACCTTTTACATCATTTTTTACCGAAATACCATTTTTAAATCTTTTCATTGAGAAGTTTTGAAAATTGCACATTTTTTGTTATGCTCAGACTTTTTAAAACAAGGCGTTATAAGGGAAACGATCGATATCCAATAGATTTTTAGCACCGTGCACCGGGCGAAAGCACTAAACTTTTTCAAAATATCTCAAATTTCGCAACCTATGCATAGGCAGACTTGAAATGGACAGACGGACAGACAAGTTTAAAAGACTCACGAAATGATTCTGAATCGATCTGCATAATAAAAGGTGGAGGCATTCGCAATACTTGTGAATGTCACATACTTCTGCACAAACTTTCTTTACCCTTTACCACAAGCGCGATGTAAATATTAAATTCTTATTGACTTTCTCTTCGGGCCTGAAGTATTTTAAAAGACGTCAACGGATCAAAATATATCTTCGGTTACAGTTATGTAATACGATACAATGTTTAAATATCCGTCCAATCGATTTGTTACAACTTTGTTCGCTTTGCTTAGATGTTGGGTATACGAGATTCGTTTCAAAAGTCGAATATAGTTTCTTAGCAAGCGGAAAGAAAATGAAAAAAAAAAAAAAAAAATTCATGATTTGTCCACAACGTAAGCAGCACAAATTGCTACTAGTAGTTCTTGTTGTTGTCGTTCAAATTGCGGATATTGTGAAATATCGAATTTAATGAATTGTGTGTACGCTTGCGTATTTGGTATTCAAGCTGAGAGCTGAAGTTTAAAACTTAATGTAAACATTTAAAAAAATTGTAAATTTAAAAACTAATTTAGTTTTTTAATATGTAGTAAATATTTCAATCTGTAGATGTGGAATTTTAAGCAAGAGAAAGTTTGTATTCACTTTGAACTATTTACAGTAGTTTGATTCTCTTATCTCTTTTGTAATCGTTACCAAAGGATGGGCATCTACGAAGGATATCATTGTGTTTGTAATCTCCAAAGATATCGATCAGATATCGTGTAAAATACGATTTTGTTTCAAATCAGTCATATCTTTGAATAGATAAAAGATCCTATAAGTCTGCACATATTTTACTAAGCCACTCGGGGTTTGAAAAGCGGCTTGATATCCGAAATGTCATATCAAATATCATGTTATATCAGTCCGAGCGAAGTTGAACATACATCATATGCTAGACGGCACGCAAAGCCACTAGGAGTGCATTGAATCAAAGTTCGCAAAGGTCGCTTTAACCCTAAAAAACTGAGGTATAAATCCGCGCAGTTCCGACCAGTTTGCCAAAAGAGGCGCCTAGGCCAGACGCTAGGGCTTGAAAAAACATTCTATTTCTTTTACTCAGGCAAAATTGTGTTAAATTCCCACATAGATTACCGACAATTTTTTATTTCTTTTTCGCAAAAGCGTTATGCTTACCTACGAAGACTTTTGTAGAGCTTTTAACTACTACGGCTCGCACTTCATTCTGAAAGTCAATCGCTTACTTTCTGATAGTTGTTGACATTCAAGGTGTCCGTCAGCATCGCTGATGCAAGAAAGTAAAGGTAAATGTTGATCAAGATCAGATTCCAAAGACCTAAGCATTTAGTAGTTAGTGTAAAAATCGCCACTTCGCTGTCACATCATTGGACTAAACAACATTCACTCGATTTGCTTATCTACATTCAAATTTAATTAGGTGAAGCCTTGTCGATTAGTAATAGGAAACGAATAACCTGAAACTAAAGAAGTGAGAACATTATAGCCGAGCTAGGCCGACCATCAAATACCGTATACAACATTGACTTGCACAATTCTTATTTTTATTATAGAACACAGATATTATATCTTGTTTCTATATGAAGGCATATTTTTCAAGTTCGTATTTGTGGGGAAACGGGGCCAAAACGCAAGCTAATATAGTAAAAGATTACTCCTTACAAAGAGCAACCTCCAAAAATAGGCGTAGAGGGTCCAAATTTTGTAGAGTTCACCTTTGTAGAAAATTACTATTATGAGGCAATTTTCACTGATATAATTTTCATCACGAAGCATTGAAAAACGTACATTTGTGTCGTACGGACTTCAAAAATTGGCCAAGCCGGTTCAAAGTTTTCAAACCTATTCAGAATACCGAAATACCACTACTTAAGCATTTTTGCCAAGAAATATTGAAAATTACAATTTTTTTCCACATGACGACTTTTTAGTTATGGGAAGTGGTCGAAAAAGTGAACCGATCCGAACCATTTTCTAAGGCTGCGTACTAAATTTCGTCAATATATCTCACGAATTGCGACCTGTAGCTTGAACACAAAGTTCCATGGGCAGACATCAAATGGACAGACAGGCTCAGATCAATTCAGCTTACGATTCTGAATCGATAATAAAATGTGGGTCTCTGTTAAGCCTTTCTGTGTCTTAAGTACTTCCGCACTGTACCACTTGCGGCATACGGTAGAAGAAGTATTGAAATGTGGTGACAAAGAGGAATGGTAGAATATTTGGAAAATGATCGAGCTAAAGATGATTGCCACACCTCGCATACGGTGGCATTAGGAAGGCCTTGCGTTACCTCGCACGTCATTAATTGTTGTCGGCATTGTTGTCATTAAACAGGAGACAATAGACTTCATGACTGAGTCCAATCTATTGACAATTATAACGTAGGCATATAATAATATGGGAAAGACAACATTAGGACCTCTTAATTAAATGGTTGCCACATTTCATTCTATACATGTTGAACAATTATTTTGAAATTAGCCTCACTTGGCTTTAAAAATTTCAATGACGTGCTCTGACTTTGATATGTTCTTGACGCTCCATATAAAAATATATTTTTCCTGACCACTTATGCTAGAGCCTTTATTAGAGTGCTGCAGGAAAGGCTGTATTCGCGCATGAAATATACAAATCACTTTAAATATTATTATTCATAAGGGAGTCAATACTTTCTACGTACATGTACACGTGTATAATAAATTTATTATTCATTTTATTGTTGGTTGACGAGATGTTTTTCTAAGCAGTCCCGTCAAACGAATTTTAATTAACAGATTTTTAGGTAAAGCAAAGTTATCTATAATATTACGAGTGACGTATTAAGTGTGGATTAATGTATTTCAAAGCATCACGCTCTCTCTCTCTCTCTCTAGTTATATTAATCTGGTTGTTAACTTTTATACTTACATCTGGCAGCGCTTTACATGTTGTGACAGCTATTGACACTAAAGCCAATATAATACCGTTTGTATGTAACATTTTTTTTGAAATAATTATTTTTTTGTTGTTGCTTTGTGCAAAAAAAATTTTACTTAAATTAATTAACAAATAAAATATCTGAAAAGAGAAAAATAAAATATTTATTCAAAAATTATGCAAATAAAAAATTTATTTTACTTAACTAAAAATTTATTTCAAAAATTAATTAAAAATGAAAATTTAATTGGATTTTATTAATATTTCAGAACTTTTGCATAAACATACAATGAAACGTTCCCCTCTTAGCTTTGCATTCGTTTTGCGTATGACTAACTAAGCAGTTAAACTTGCGGTAACTTAAAGTTAAATTTGAATTTTGCGGTTAATCCTTACTACAAAAACAAATTAAGGTTTCACTTGGTAGAACGATAACCAGTCTACTGAGCTTGCCGGAGAATTATTTCATTTATAATAATTGCTTAGGTGACTTACGAGTTATTCGAATTCCGCGTTATGGGCTGCGAAAGTGCGAAATTCTTCAACACTGTTAGGTAAGCAAATAAACCGAAACTTCTCTATACATGCACTTTGATCATTTTTAAATCAAGGGATTAGGTTGATGGCTAATCAAAGTCCACAAAAGCTTCAGCTGCGACTTTTGCTAGGACTTTCTCATCAAGCCTTGCTTTTATATAGACAGTGTGCTTTCGCTTCATACCTTTGGCGGGAATACAGTTTTTTATAGCCACTGCCAAAGGATCGGACGAGTATTAATTTTGTCAAAATGTTAGCAACATGCAGTAGTGAACTCCAGACCTGGATCGATCTAAACTGGCCTTTCAATGTCTATCCACCCTTCTGCTTATTAATGCGCACATAATCAAGGAAGGAAAGATTAAATTATCGGCTTCAAATTGAAAATTCTGGCGTACAATTTTTGTGCGCAACATAAACAGAGCGCGTCTATAATTTCAAAAGCAACAACAATTTGGACTTTTACTCATTGATCATTAACTTCAACAGATGTAACAATAAGAATGTTCACATGTAGCCAGCGAATGATCTTACAGTACCAATAATAAGATGGAAAAAAATCCGTCGAATGCAACTCAGTATTATTGAGAACCGAAAATTGATATTTTTGTTTATCTTTTCGAATTGATTTTAAGGTATAGTTGGCGCAAGTATAAAAGTTAAATACACATAGTCGAATGTGTATAATTTTCTTTACATATTTTTTCTTTGTTAAAAACACAATATTGTTAAATGTTTATTAATCGAAACATTAAATGTTCAGAGAAAATGATTATGGCTGTGACAAAATCTTGTGGGTGCTTTGGGAGAAACCCAAATTTATTGAAGAAACAAAAACTATTATGAAGGACTAATACCTCGAGTGAATAATTGCCATCTCAAGAGAAAATTTATTAGCAAAGTACACCTGCACTCAGTCATACTTATTTTAGTTTAGTTCTCAAACTACTAAGAAAAATTATTTCTACAGCAACACATAAAAAGTATTCTCCAGATATGGTTCCATGTGATGTTTTGAACTTTAACTTTACTTTAGGGTTTCGCGTCCTTCCCGTCAAGTAGGTTGAAGCAAAATGAGTAAAATGGAATTCGACAGATTTGAAATCTGAAAAATTGAATTACGTTTTGGCATAAATGCTGTGTCAGAAAGAAGGCAGAATATTGAGATCATTCAGAAGCATCTTCTTCACGCTTCACGCTTCACGCTTCACGCTTAAGTTTCAACAGAAAAGTACATCGTTGTCGGCAATCACTAGTGTTGTAGTTCCAAGCACAGTCAATCAATTGATGCTTTGCGATAGTTGCACAACCAAGTGTTGAATTATTCGTCTTATTCAGTAAGTCTGAGCATTTCTGTCTTATGCCTATTACCAGACCTACAGAAATTCCAATTTAAAAGCGCTCTAAAGCAGTTGTCAGGGCAGGAATTCATTCCAAATAAAAAAATTGAAAAATCGTCAAAGAGAAAGGTTAAGAAGACCAACCCATTAGTTCATGTTATTGCACTATTAGACGGTGAACTGACAGTTTGGCCCAATTTAATATAAGTGTTATTACTTAAATTGGTAGCGGATCTCCTAGGGACGAAAAATAAGACGACGGTTTTTGTTATTGCATTTTCATTCTATGTATTTTCTTTATTGTACAACTAAATGGGGGGGGGCAACAAAATCATAATAATGTTGTTTATGAAATGCAAACATAAAACGAAATAAGTAAAATTTTCAAATTCTTTATACTCAACAGAGTATGAAAAACTTGAAACCATTAACAACATCATAGAGTAAATTAAGACGAATATAAACTCAATCTTCTTGTTATCAGATTTAGCATACAGGGTGCTCGGCAGGAAAACTTTTACTCATCTACAATTTAGACGAGAGACTTGGCAATCATTCGCTGCAAATATGACAATATCTTCGAGATGAAGTTGCAGTGAATGCACTTTTGCCAAAATATGCTTTAATCACTCTACGTACTATGGAAGATAAGCTGCCTGCGAATAGAACTCTATTTATATTAAGTAGATCCTTATTGGAATTCATATTGAAACATTGAAAAAGTTCTCACTGCTTGATTAATCAAGATTTGTTGTTTGATATTTGATATGTGAATGTTAATGCACTAAAGTCAACCAGCAGTTATTATTGAGTTTCGGGTAGAAATAATGCGCCATGAAATTAACATTTGACGATTAAGTCGCAGCGAGCGATAAGCTCAAGTTTCAAGCAATGAAAGCAATCCATTAACCTCAATTTCATTCTATGCCCAAGAACATGAAATAAAGAAAACAAGTTTATAGGAAACTGCATACACACATCCACTTAAGCTGCAGTTGACATAAGAGATTTGCTAGCATCATCATCATCATCATCATCAGCATCAGCAGCAGTATTTGCAAAAGTGCAGCGAAAACTCTTTTTTATAAAAAAAAACAAAAAAAACAAAAGCAATTATTACATAATTCCAAACAAAAAGACCTAAATTCCCTGTCATGTGAATCATAAACAAATGAAAAGTTTTAAAAGCTAGCAAGCAAAAAAAAAATAATAATAATTGAAAGCGAAAAAAAAAAAAAAAGTTTGCGACACAAAAAAACTTTTTCATTCATAAATATAATGTAATCAAGAAACATTTGTGCGTATGTTCACAACATAAAACAATTCATAGATATACACAGCTACTCACAAACACATAAACACATTATTAAACTACAGCTAAAAAATTATGCCAAAACTATGTATGCCTGCGTTTATATATACGAAGTATTAAATTTTTTATTTTTTAAAATTCAAAGCAAATGATAAAAAAAAACCATTATTGAATATCATAGAAAGATAGAGAAAAATAAACTTCCGTTTCTGGTAACAAAAAAAAAAAAAAAAAAAAAAAAAAAAAACAAAATTATATAAAAATATATTTTATTTAATATTTGTAATAAAGTTTTTGATTTTTATTTTTCTCTTCTTTTTTCTTTTATTTATTTTTATTTTTTTCAAGCACTTATGGTAAAGTGTGAATGATCACAAATCCATCATCACACACATATGATATTTCCTGAATCAATATAACCAAATACACACTTAACAAACTTAATGATTTAATTAAATAATTTGGCAAAAAACAAAAAAATATAAATAATAAAAATGATTTATTACTTTATTCCATGGCGCAAAATTCACTGTTACGGCGCATAAATAGAGATATGAAGGCGTTGGTGTTTTCACATAACTTATTGACATAATTCATGCTTTGCAGACCTTTTTAATATGCTTTCAATTTTGCGTTCAATTATTGAATTTCTCTGAGTGAAGAGAACACTTGAATGCTTGCAATCACTAATGTGAAATTATTATGTAATGTGAATAGGTTACCGTGTCTACGTTCAACTCTTGGTAAACTGTAATGACGTTGCGTAGTTTCTGGTCGTGACTTTTATCAAAGAACCATTTATGATTTCTGCGTAATATTGTGAACAGGGTAAGGTGCGGGAATCGTTTATTCAAAAATCCCATTTAATCAGTCTCGGATAAAGACAAATTAGCAAAATTGTAAACCGATAAGAGGCAAAAGCCATCTGCGAACTAATTAGTTTATAAATGTTACTTACGTTGCAAGTGTTTACACATCTTTTGTTTTGCTTTCAATAACATGTCCAAAGTCTAGCGTATACCCTCGCTTGTAACATTTTGAAAGTCTACTCTGCACAATTTGTTCATACATATGTACCCGTCCGTAATATATTAATCAAATTTTTCCTGACTGGGTATGAACGAAAGGGATAACCGCTTTCTCTTGAATTTCTTTTTATTTATTTATTTATTTCTCAGCTATATTTGGATAATCATATAATTTCAGGCAACAAAAGAACAAGAATTATATTTACCTTCTGTTTATGCTAATTACGATGTAGATAGATGATTACATACTATTCTGAAAAAGGGATCTAAAGAAATCATAAGAGCTCTTGATTATTATACACAAATACATATGAAGTACGTAGGAGAAGAACTATGGACTGCATTCATTTGTCACCAGCAAGGTTCGGCCACGCTTTGTTTGATAATTAAATATGTCGGAACCGGTACTCTTCGATCGTACTCTTAGACGAGCTATTGAAGTCGTCACAAAGAACCCGAGAGAGGTTAATAAGCTCATAATTGTGCCTATTGGCGAGTTACGCGGCGGGATATATATTAATGTCAATTTCACTTAATAAGGCCGCAGTGTTTATTATTCCGTTCATACATACGCATTAAGGTAATCCCTAAAAGAAATCTGCGACTTTAAACTGAGGGTAATTCGATTAGCCTGAATCTTGATTGATGAGATAGCAAGGAGCGAGCAGGATCCCAGTCATTAGGCAGCTAAACCGTTCAAAGGGCCTACCTAGACTCACGAATAATCCTTTTATTGCATAGAGGTCTTCGAATTCCTTCTACCATCGCTTAATGAAGCCAAGCAAACGTTTCACTTGAGTAATTGATATGTAGATTGAAGTGAAGCCTGTCAAGCAAAACATATAAATCAGAAAATGACGAGACTTCATCCAGTGAAACTTCTGACGAGTTAGAAGATAACAAAAGAAGATAAA